GAAGAGAATGATTTTTTTTTAAGTTTCAAAAGAGTGGCTCTAGTAGGTATTGTTTATACTATTTGGCAAGAGAGAAATATGTGCCCTCATGTTAACGAGAAGAGGAATCCAGTTTTGATAATCAAGCTCATTAAAACTGCCTTGTTCGTTTATCTAGAGAACAGCAAAATTCCCTTGAAGTTTCAGGGATGGTTTCAGCCTTTATGAGTCTGGATTCGGTGTTTTTGTTTTTTTCGAGTATTGGAGTTGTATTGTATGGGTTTTGTTGGTTTGATGTGAGATGCTCTGTTGTTTTCGAGCATGCTCCGCTCTGAGAGTTTTGTATACCCAGCAGTGCCTGGGGATGTGTATATTTACTGAACGCTAATTGGTTAAAGTCGGGAATGTTACTTCTGGGACCCATAGTTAGGCAACTTCCCAACTTTTCCTCTGAAAATACATGCAACCAAACAGCCAGAGACCCTTAATCCAAGAAGGTTCAACCAATGGATGACTCGAGGACTAATTCTACTACTCACTCCATAATGAACAGATATAAAGATGAAAACAACACCACCAAATAACCTCTATTCTGTATTGAACTTTTATAAATTAACTAATTGTGGTCTTCCCAAAAGCTCTACAACACATACAAGAAGTGTCTTGCTATCTATAGCCAGATAACATTCATCCACGGCATATGCAGTAATTCTTATCCTTGCCCAGTTGAAAGTACACTACTTCTGCCTAATTTTGCCAAACTAAGAAAATTTTATGTAAGACTAATCTTAACAATCCTGCTCAAACGAAAGTTATACAAGGAAGATAGTCAAGAGAATCTTCAATCATCCAAATGAAGAGATGGTCATGTTCAAAATATCCAGTTCTGGAGCTGCACTATGTGCAGCTAGACTGTAATCAGCGTAAATAGCATGTATATGGGAAGCCTATCTGAAGAAGTATATGCTTCTTCCTGCAAACATGATGAAAATCAGATGGTGTTCCCATCAAGAAAATAGGTGATCTAGAAGGACAAATGAAGATGATGAGCTGGGATTAGCAAAGAGGCATCTAATCTCATAAATAAGGGAAGAAACAGAGACAATAAAGTATCTTAAATGTCGCTCCTGTTTGGAGGTAAACGAGAAGATTTCTGAGCCCTCTAGGACTAACAAACAAGATAACGATTCTCCTCAGATTAAGAAAGAACCAAATAGTATGGGAGAAGAACAGAAATAGATGGAGAGAAAAAGAAGCCAAACATGAAAGAAGTCAGAAAAAGGACTTATCCAAAGTCTCTCTATTCCAATTATATAGCTAGGATATTTACCAGAAGCCTCTGGCCAACCGCCCTCCAGGAGATTTTTCCTAGACACCGATAGACAATCTAACCATTACAATTTCTAACTAAGCAGGCAATAACTAAAGAAATTATTATTTTTGCCGCTTGCTTGACACAAGGTAATGGTGTGTATTATTTAGCTAACCCCAAAATTATGGGATAAAGACTTTTTATTTTTTGCTGCTACTTCACATAAAATAAAGTCTAATTATTTCTCAGGAAAAAAGAAACATGGCCTGTGGGGTCATAAAAAAATACCTGGTCAATAGAAAATATCCTGGGTACTAACTGAATCAGATACACATATAGCAGGTACATCAGATAAGGCGTTAATAAGTTCAAATGCTCAAAAGTAAGGCCGGAAAAAAGTATGCATGCTCAATTTTCTATACTAACTGAATTAAATATATGATAACTATATCCATGTCTGCTTTGTCTTACAGAAATGAAAAAGGAGTACCCACTTTACAAAAATAAATAAAGGGGTAAATAAAGAAGATAATTTTGTTGACGACAATACTAAATAGATTGAGAGGCATGAGCTGGTTAAGGACAATGCAGACAGGTATGAAGAAGGAACAGGTGTTAACAAATCAGACAGACTTATAGATCATAATCGTCCACTAGCATGTATAAATTGGTACTTATACTCACTTTCATATATTTACTACTTAGTCAACCACGTTTTTTTTAGATAAAACCCATTTCTACTTTTCCTGCTGCTTTGAGTGAAAAAAAGACTGGCACTTCCCAGAAGAAGTATACATGATCAAGTCTAATAAGGAATTGTCTTGGTCTCCTGTAGTTACAGATTTGCAGTCTGCACTTCCCCCCCTTAATCAAAAGAATTCCACAAAAATTATGAAGACATATAGCACTAAAAGCTCTGTATTAAGCACAGGACAGGCAAGGAAAGATCACAAACAGATTGAAAGATATTAAGAATAAAAGCTAACTTGGTAAATATAATTTGTTCCAGATGCATAACAAGAAGAAATATAATGCGCAAGATACCCGATGATCAGTTGCTTTGAGCTTGGGCAATAAACGGTCCAGCATTTCTAGCTTTCCACAGAGTCTCACAAGGGAAGGCAGATAATGTCTTGGTAACAGACCATCAACCTGAAGCGATGAACCATAAACATTGCAACACGAAAAGAAATTAAATATAATTAAAGATATTACACACAAAATTTTCTCAACGTGTGAAATTACCATTTCAGCATGAAGTTGACTGAGATACGGATGATTGCATATATTACGTAACTCCATCACTGTGTTGTGCACAGAACGACCCTAATATTGAATATTGTAGAAAATCAGTATAATACATTGGCAGCAAGCACACAAAGATAGCATGTGAAGCAAACTACAGAAAATTACCTTTGTATTTCCAATTGACCCAAGATTCTCTTCCACCCTCTTCATTAGAAGTTTCTGATATGCAGAGGCTTCACATCTCACACCCTCTTCATTAGAAGTTTCTGATATGCAGAGGCTTCACATCTCACAAGCCTTTCAATTTTTTCAGGCAATTCATTTTCAACCTATCAAATAGATGAGGAGGCTTCACATCTCACAAGCCTTTCAATTTTTTCAGGCAATTCATTTTCAACCTATCAAATAGATGAGCATCAAATGGCAGAGTTTCAGTGTAACTGGGAAACACTGCTATCTATGTTTTTTAAGTTAAGTAAATCCATATTGCAAAGCAGCTAGTTATTAACTCATTCTATTTATACCCACCAACTCATAAGTGTAGGTAAACAAAAGCATCCTTCAAAGTTGAAAAGGCAAAAGGCAACATATGGAACTATCAAGAAAAATATATAAACCCTTTTAACTTTCTGTTCTCCTACACAAGTACTTAAATTATAATGACCACTAACAATAGCAAATGGCAGGGAATCATATGGCATATAAAGTGTTGCTATTCAGCAGGTTATATTGAAAACGGAATGAGCTTGCATTACACTCCAACAATACAAAGCTGAAGATTCCATTTCATGAGTAGCTTAGCTTATTCACCAGTATCTTTATGGACTCAATTGTTCCACTGCTGTTACTGGTGACTGAAAAGGCTCCGAGGTCGACTTCCTTACCTTCCCAGATGAAGGTGTTTGTTGTAGATTAAACAAAGAGTTCGGACAAGGATTCTGCTGGAATTGACAAATGTTGCCATAGAAGAAGGGGCAGCCAAAAGAGGTTTTGTACAGAAAAAAGCTAGCAGAGATCAAGCATGTGGCCAATTAAGAGATCAAGCATGTGGCCAACTAAGATCAGGATAAGCAACAATGATGAATTGATTTGTCGTGTTGGAGTGACCAAGACCGAAGGTTGCTTCTAATTTAACATGGAGCAGTAAACTTAAGTTGATTCAAATCGAGAACAAGTAAGAACTATAAGTTATAAAGTTGACTACAAAAATGGATTCCTTTGCCTAATTCATGACAGTGCATAAGAGATGCGGTTAGGATAGGAACTTCGGGAATAATCTATGAGAAGGAAATAAATGCAGATTGTAGATGAAAAAAAATCTATTTTCTCCTCTTAGATACGAAGTTGAAGGTAAAATTCAAAATTTGGCAAAATAAATGTTTAACAAACAAGATCTAAAGCCTTTACGCCTGTAACAGTTGTGTACCAATTTGTTATCAGTATCCAGATTGTGGCCTTTTCGGTATTATTGGATGGACATTTTCAATTTTTTTTATCGACAGCTTAATTTGAAGGAGCCCAACATAAAAGACAACTAATAGCTATTTCACAATTTTTTTCAGTAATTAGTATAGTTAGATTATGTTGTGGCAAAATATTATAAAATGGTGAGGTTTGGCAGTGATCTGTAGACATATGTATGTGGATTGACACATAAATGATACCCCAATTTTAGTAAATAGACATATAAAAAGAATTAGTATCTCTCAAAAAAGGCATAACATACTTCACCTTATACATATTCTTTTAAGGTGAATAATGCTTTACATTTTCACAAATGCCAGACATAGACGTAAAGAGTATCAAACATGCCATTTTTTGTTTGGATAAGTGTACAACATATAATACTAGCAACAAAACAAGAATTACAAATAAACACAGCATTTGATTAATAATCAAACTTCTATTTAAGTTAATAACCAAATTTACATAAATAAGTTATTTTTTTATTTCATAAAGTTTAAAGAACTCCAGTATGCAAAAATTGAATTTATTACAACAATATAATTATGTTTGCATATTATGCCTTACAAAACCTGTGTAAATGCCTGTGCAACATAGCCCAGCATTGATCATCATTTAACTACGCTCTAAATATGCTTCCAAGGGATGTGAATAAACCTGTGTAAATGCCTGTGCAACATAGCCCGGCATTGATCATCATTTAACTATGCTCTAAATATGCTTCTAAGGGATGTGAATATCTTACAGAATATGATAGTAAAAATCAAAACGACTGGGTCAAGGAGCGATTTCTACACAATGAAAACAAGGAAACACATGATTACTCCCCTAAAATGGCAATAGTAGGATATTCAGGTCATTATGCCTTAGATAATAAACTATACTCAGATGATCAACCAAAAAAAAGCTGATATAATCAATAGACCAATTGCAGAAGGTATTGACATAAACTTCAGACCAAGAGGAGCAAGTAATAATCCTTAAGTTGCAGACATGATACAAATTTATGCACATTTCTGCAACTACAGACCTTGTGTTTTAGCCTACGAAGTACGAAAGGTCGAAGGACTTGGTGAAGACGGTTTATAATCAAAAGATTCTCTTCCTCGGATAATAGAGCCTGTAAAACCAAGTAACCAGCAAATTATAAGCATCTGCCCAATTTGTAAAACAGGGACCATTTTTTCTTCTTTTTCTCCTTTCCTTTGAAGGTCTGTTAAGCAGGCCCTGAATAGTAAGAGTATAGCAAGGATGAAGATTACTTACTTCATCTGCTGAATTGTCCACGTTACTTTCAAATGGCTTGTTGAACCACTGGGAAAAATCCTCTGACGAATTGAAAATATTAGGTAATAAGAAATTAAGAAGCGCCCACAGCTCTTCCAGGTTGTTCTACAATGAAAAAAAAACAGTAGATGTGTCAAAAAAGGAGGAAGTTGAGATAGAGTTGATTGACACTGAAAGAGCATGATGGTAGATGAATGAACTTACAAAAACATATTATACTGTAAAAACAATTGACCAGATGATTGCCAAATAAAAGGAAACAAGAAAGTCTTAACCAATTGATCAAAAATGACAAACTAAATGTGTATTTCTGGAGGCCTGGGAGAAACTGTAGTTCAAAATTAAGGTGACCAAAACCCAGAGTGAATCAGGCATCTAGAAGTAAGCTAATTATCAATATTTGGTTACCTGTAGAGGTGTGCCTGTCAAAAGCAAGCGGTGAGAACTTTGATATAGCTTTAAGTCTGCATTTAATTTACAAGATGCATTCTTTATGCGGTGGCCCTCGTCAATTATTATGTAATGCCAATTGATTTTGCTCAGCTTCGGTCTATCATGTTTGTTCATCAAGTATTCATACGTTGTCAGGAGAACATTAAATTTCTGCTGCACAATCCTTTCTCTGCAAAAGAAAAGGCTATCAAACTTCTTCAACAGAATTGACAAATATATATATATATATNATTAGTGAATTAATTACTTGAACAGCCTGCGTCTCTCCTCAGGAGGGCCTGCATATGCAATCTTATTTATACCAGGGGCCCAGAACGTAAGTTCAGATTCCCAGCCAGAGAGAACAGAGGATGGAACTACCACCAGAAAAGGACCCCTGTCATTCTTTGTTTCCATAAGATAACAAATTAAAGAAATCACCTGCAGAACACCTTATCAACTCAGTCTGGAGCACAAGGATAACAATGGAACATGATAAGAACAGCAACAAGTATTATTCATATGGTTACTAGAACCGTCATAGTTGAATGAAACATACAGCAATATTATAACAAAACATACTTGAACTGTTTTACCGAGACCCATTTCATCTGCAAGAATACCATTCAAGTGGTTATTGTACAAGGAAACCAACCAACGCAAACCATTCATTTGGTACCTGTAACCAAGTGGCAAAAAATCACATGATTCTTTAATACTTAAAAAAGACAATAGCCGCGGAATGCAGAATACTGGTCAAGAAACTGTTAAGAGTGACAGCTGGGGATTTACTCTCGCAATTTTCCACCCTCCAGAGAATTTGGCTGCTCGTCAATACTTTCTTTTATGCTGAAAGACATAACAGGTTGTGAGATAAATTAAGGACAGTTGAAAAGTGTAAACACAACTGAGTTCATTTAGAACAGACATAGGCAATAAACAATTAAGGAGAATCAATGCCTTAACCAGATTTCCCATACCTATGTGCCATCATGTAGTACTTTTCGTTGCTTTCCAGATAATGCTGCACCAGAAAATATATAGTCAGACCGAGTCTAACAGCAATGTAAGGACTTCACAACAAGATATCTACCTCAGCCTGATCATTTTCATCTTCATTTTCAAATGTAAAATCATTCTTCTCGACAAAATTAACTGCTCTTTCATCCACTTCCCTCGAAATGGCCTTAGCCTCCTGTAACTTCGTACTTAGCTTCTGTAGATACTTTTCAGTCTCCTTGAGGAGCTGCCTGACACGGTCTGATTTGGCATCCTGTATGGTTGTGAATAGATCAGTAACCAAAAGTATATCACAAATGTAGAAGCAAATATCAGAGGGAATTAGATCAAGACCTGAACCATTCTCAAATATCCTTCCACATCATTGGCTTTTAACAGGTTAATCTTCTCACGTTGAATCCTGTCAATCTTTTCACGATGTGTCCGTTCCTTCCTCTTATGGAACTCCTTAACATATCTATTGAGACCCTTCCAACGCTCTCTCTTACCCTTGAAGAAGTCCTCAAGTTTTTCCCTGTAAATGCAATTGTGCATAGCAATTTCTTCTTCAGGCTACTCCAAAAACTTAAAGAATGATATATATTAGAAGCACAGATGATGAAGAAGAAGCATACCTGTGCACGTCAATTTCACCAAAGAATTCTTTCTGTCGCTCGCGTATACGCTTTTGCCTCTCTTCTTTCATTTTCTGCTCAAATCTTTCAAGTTGCTTCGTTCTCCTTCCATGTTTATGCTTCTTTATTGATTTCAGACGTTCCATATTAGATGTGATAGGCTTGAAAAAGTCATTGAGAAAATCACTGCCAAACAAAATAGCCATGCTGAAGATGTATCTCTCAAAACAAATCTCTTATAGGAATATTCAAAAACATTTAAAGTAGTTAATAGAGACAGGTTAGACTGAACAGAAGAGCTATTATAGACCTGCGTAAGCGGCGTTGAAGTTGTAAGAGTTGAAGCTTTTTCAATTCAATAACGCTTTTTGTCTTAGCAGAAATGTCTTCTGATGAGTTCACATTTTCCTGAGGGAACAAAAGAATTCAATTTGAACATTAGACTACAAAGTCCATCAAAACTCTAATACAAGAAAAGTTCTGATGTTAGTGTATTAATTGAGGAAACCTTAGATTAAAACCGAACTATACTTTGTTCGGCTTAGACACTTAAAATGTCTGCTTCAAATATTTACCACGAAAAATGTTTACCCTCATCATGACACAAGTACAAAGTTAATGCAATCTAATGTTACTATGACATGACGTTTCACGCATAATAACAACCCTTTCCTCCCAAATAAAGGAAAAAAAACTTGAACATCTAAATAGGCTGAGGAACAAATCGCAAAAGGAAAAGGAAGGTGGACTGTAAGAACAAAAACAAAGAGAATATGTTTGGTTATATTGATTTAACAAAAGCACATATACACTGCCTCATTTCCTGATGTTAATGATGTAACTATACACACAATTCTCATATAACAGAGTCAAACATCCTTGCACTCTTGGCCTTCCTTAATCCATCTAGAGCTTCACTGTTGGCAGTGACACATATATCTACTATGTATTTAGTTATATGCCTGGTCATATTCATTTCCTAATACATGCATAACAGATAGGCGAGAGCTTTCTTTTGGAGAGGGAAGAGGGGTTTGCAGTGACCGGATCCTACTATACATGACATGCAGAATAAACTGGATTAACAATCAGAACCCAATTAATATGTTTTAATTCAATAATAACCTAAATAAGAGCTATTTGCAGTCGATTATTAGCAATAAAGAAAATGCAACATCAAAGGGATTAATGTAGCAAGCAAAATGGTAATGGAGATAGCACATGAAAATATTGGAGAATCAAACCGCACCAAAACTGATGATTGTTTCATCTTTAGTAATATAGCAAAGCTTACATCCCTAATGAAATCAAACTTGGTTGTTCCGGAAAATATCAACTTCAGAAGCAAAATTCCATTTCATATAACACAGTAGTAAATGCATGGCATTCCATGTTTGCCATTTTGAGACATATTATAATATTTTTATATCCTTTGAGAAAGCATAAATTCTGTAACTGCTAATAACATTTTCTGATCCACACTCTTTTAGACATAGAAGGGATAGTCTTCCCGAAAATTTATTAAATCTATACTACTATAAAAAGAGGACTGTGGTGTTAAAACTTTTAATTTCCCTTTTTACCCTCAGATTTTGATAAATTCTAACTATGCCATTACCACTAATTAATTTTTCATTAAATAGATATAACCGCTTATTAATTATGCACCTCCTCACCTTTCTAAATAATTGTAATTATCAATAATATTATAACTACTAATTATAAAAAAATAAAAAATAAACTAATTTATCAAATAAGTATACACAATTATTAGTAGTAACCAATTAAATTATTCTAATAATTATTTTTGAATTATAATTAAATAATTAAAATAATAGTATAAATAGAATGATATATTACTAAATACTATTAAAAACTATATTATAATTCAATGAGCAATATAATAAATAGAATAAATTTTGAATTGCCTAAATAGTGTAATTATTTTAATAATATCACATAAATTGCGAATTACACTGATTATTAAGTATTGTTTATTAAATAAATCAAATAATAATTTAATATTATTTTTAGAGTATTTTCTCAAAGATTATTATATGATACTTAATAATCTATAGTTGGTAATGATTGAAAACAGACCTTTTTTAAAAAAATTAATTATTTAACATTAATAATAGTACAATTAATTATTAATGATAGTATAATAAAATTTATAAAACATTTATAGTACTAAATTTTTAAGAGCATAATTTAAAAAAAATAGATAAATATTTTATAGTATATAGACAGTATAATCATTTCAATAGTATTACTTGAACTAAGAGTTATATATCAAATAAGGTAAATTACAATAAACCCCCATAAACTTTCAGCGTTTTGCAGTAAATAGATTCTATAAACTTTTCAAAGCACACTAAACTCATAATAACTTTTGTAGAAAGCCCCCAATATCTTTTAGATAAATTACACCAAACCCCCAATAACTTTTAAAATGCCATTTTATGCCATTTTCTGGTTCTAATTTATAGGGGTTATTTGCAAAATTCAGGAAGTTATCAGGGGGCCTTCTTTGAAAAAGAAAAGTCATTAGGGGTTTAGTGTAATTTTTAAAGTTAATATGGACTGAAAGTTCACAAGGGTTTCGTGTAATTTACCCTATTAAAATAATTAATATGAGAAGTAACTATCACAATATGCTGCAGGTATCGAGTGTACCTATCTAGGGAACATCAAGAAAAAGTTAACAATATTAATGCAGCTTAGTTAATTTAAAGTTAAGTTAACAACTTTCAAATTAGAGGACCATATTTAAAAGAACTTATAAAATTTACAGCTTTATTTAAGAACAATTTAGATTTGGTGACTTATTTAAAAAAAGGTTAATGCTAGGTAATTATTATAAGAAAAACATTCAATTACAATAACTACACAATAATAATTAATTCATACATTTCTTTTTAAACAATCTTATTATACAATTTTATTAACGCATAGTTTTACTATTCAATAAAAAATTCAAGACTACGTTCACATACAAAGCACGTGCATTATAATAGCGATAGTAAAAAAGGGTTATAGACCAGAAAGATACTTGTCATTTGCTCTTTCCCAAATATTTTTAACCTTCAGGAATAAATGTTAGTAGATCTTGTAACTGCCATGATTTCCATTCTTTATACATAATTTTTGAAAATTATCTACAATTCAATGTTGTCACCAATTAGAAGTCGTATTTATAGCTAACTACATGAATGCTAACATTCACGTACATCATACAAATATGTACACTCCACACTCCTTAGTTGTAGAAGGGATAGTAGTCCTAGAAATTTTTTAAATGTTAGTAAAAAGGGTTAATAGACCCAAAAGGTGGTTGTCATTTGCTCTTCCCCAATACTTTTAACCTTCAGGAATAAATATTAGTAGATCTTTGTAACTGCCATGATTTCCATTATTTTTACATAGTTTTAAAATTATCTACAATTCAATGTGGTCAACACTTAACGTTATGCTTATATTTAGCTAAGTACACAAATGCTAACATTCATGTACATCATACAAATGCAGTTACCAAATATTCATATCAGAAACAAGGGTTCTTAAACATTTTAGTGACAATTTATCAACACTTTTTTCACAATTTCAACTTTCTAGCCAATTTACAGTTTTATTTCTTTAGTAAGTACAGTACCAGCAGGGATTATTTTTCATTATGTTTTTTACCATATCATATTCAAGACTCTAAGCTTCAACCAAGAGGCGCATTACTCGAGTCCGAAGTATTAGCTAGGCAATAGTTTGAGACCTGTTCTCTTGGCTATTGGCTACATGTGTGCCCTCAGAGTCTGAATAAAATTTGAATAGCGGATCTATCAATTTTTCCTTCCTTTGGGACATGTCTCCAGTCTATGGCGAAAAAGGCTCCATTCTATGAGAATTCGGTGGATGGAAACTGGTCATTCAGGATTATAGTAAACACCTCTCATATCCGTAGTCTACAACTCTACATGGCTAGAAACTAACACTAATTAAGATTTAAGAAAGGTTGATGTCAGGTTGGCTTTCACTGTTGTCAAATATGAGTATCTCTCCATAGTGGCTAACATTTTTGAGGGGAAAAGAGATGGCGGCAGCAGTGGCTATATTGATGAGGAGATTAAATCTTGTTAGCTTATATTGTGAACCCAAGGTTTTAAATATCGGATATCGGGGAAATATCGGATGGCCAAAATTCATATCGGATTGCGGATATCGGGGAAATATCGGGGATATGTGGTAAATATCGGAATACCATAATGAATGTTTGCATACATAGTATAACGCATTAAAATGTAATCTCAACATATGCAATGAAAATTTAAGCATACAAAATATGAATAATATATGTTTAGGATCATTAATCAACCTTCTAAAACAAACAAAAGTACAAAGCAACGTTGCAACATTCGATCTGTTTTTTTTAGGGTAAAATGTCATTTGATATAATGGAGAAATCTTGATATTTCGCCCGAAAATTCTAAACACGGTATATTATTTTGTAACAAGCTATATAAAAAGATATATTGGTCCACATATCGGCTAATACATCGATCATATCGGGGATTTATCACTCAAAATAGCCAAAAAGCGATAAAGGATATTTAAAGACCATATCGGTTGCGGATTTATCACTCAAAATAGCCAAAAAGCGATAAAGGATATTTAAAGACCATATCGGTTGCGGCAAGCCTTGTAAAAGGATATATCGGGGGATATATCGGATTTAAAGACCATATCGGTTGCGGCAAGCCTTGTAAAAGGATATATCGGGGGATATATCGGGCCATGTCAGGGATATTTAAAACAATGTGTGAACCTGAATTGGAAAGGCACAAAATTAACCAGAAACCAGGTCTATGTATTTACAGTCTGCCAGATGTGACGGGAAATGGTGAAACTTAATAAGCTTGGTGGGGCACGAAAAATAATTACATAATTCAGCTTGTGCGTGCGTGCGTGTGTAAACATCTC